CAACACACACACACACACAGACACACACACACACAGACACACACAGACACACACACACACACACACACACACACACACACACACACACGGCAAGGTCTTACCGAAGAGTTTGTTTTGTTATTTCTAGTACAAAACAACAAACTCCTAATGTTCTCCGAGTTAAGATTTCGACGTTAGCATCTCCTATGAAGTACTTTTTTTTTTTTTTTTTTACCATGGCCACTGCATACCTTTTCAGTCTTCTATACTGACTTTCTCCAAATCCTTTCCTTTACACCCAGGGGCACACACACTGCCTGCCCCAGAAACTCTACTTGCTTGCTGATTGTCAAAATTCAGGCCGCTGTCTAAAATGAATGACCATTGATTACCCACCCACCCATCATGTGCCAGTCTTCCCTAGGAAGCTTCACTTCTGGCAAAGTTAAGCTCTTCCTCCACAAGTTACCAGTGTTTCTATTCCAACTCATATTCTTTATGTATATATCTGGCCATGCCACCTCGTACAGTTGTGTTGGCTATTCATTGCACATGGTCATCCCAACCACTCACAGGCTAAAATCGAGTTCACACTCAACTTGCCACATCTCCAGTACACCCCTTTCCACTGGAAGAGAGGAGTATAATTCACTCAGAGGTACAGGTTAGGTCCACGTGGCTTTGCCTATGCCTGTTCTCATTGATACATTCAGCTTACATCACCATAAATAATACAGAAGGGCCACGCACCAGTGCCTGAAATCCTAGCTACTCAGGAGATCTTCATATCACTGTTCAAAGTCAGCCTCTGCAGAAAAATCTATGAAACTCTTGCCTCCAATTAAGCAGAGCTGGAAGTGGAGCTGTGACTTAAGTGATGGAGTGTTATCCTTGAGAAATCAAGAGCTCTCAGGTCCTGTGTTCAAGCTCAAGTATTGGCAGAAATAAAAAAGATTATTTCTAATGAATGCTACAGAGGAGGTAGAGTTTAAGGACAGCTTATTTTGTGTAAGTCTATGGATGTGGGCTTGGCTATTACAACTCTGTGTTCTTTAAAAGATGCTTAGATATCTGCTCCTGGTCATAGGAAGAGTGGGGTGAATGAATTCATGACTGGGTCTCAGGGATTTGTGTCCATGTGTGATAGTCCTCCTCTGCCCATGGCCTTTCAAGGGCACGTGGCTAACTGCAATTGCTGAAGAGATAAGGGGACAACAGAATTGAAAGCCATAAATGCCATGCTCACTTAAGTGTTTGCTATTACGTCGGATTACAATGTCCTTTCATAAAAAAGAGTTAAGTCATCCCAAAGTGACAGATCACAGAATTAAATTGAGACACTAAGAAGTAAGAGGAGTCTAGTTTTGTTGTTGTTTTTTCTCCCCCATATTGGTATAGGGACTTGAAATAAGGACCTTGTACTCTTCCTTGGTTTTGTGATACCACTTAAGCCACACCTCCATGAAAGTCTTTTTCATTTAGGATCTACAGTGAGATCATTTAAGATGTTTGTCTAGCCAGGCACCAGTGGCTCATGCCTGTAATCCTAGCTACTCTGGAGGCTGAGATCTGAGGCTCATGGTTCAAAGCCAGCCCAGGCAGGAAGTCTGTGAGACTCTTATCTCCAATAAACTGCTAGAAAATCAGAAGTGCACTGTGGCTCAAGCAGTAGAGTGCTCACCTTGAGCTGAAGAGCGCAAGAACAGCGCCCAAGC